CCCTTTTTAAATAAGCAGCCGTGCAACCTAAAACGCCTCCTTTCACCACTACTGTTAATATGTTTGCTTCCTCCAAGGTCAATTGTCTTTGTATTTACCATGTTTGGCCTTCAGGGGCAGACTCTAACACAGCATATTTTTTTATTTCACTGAGCGAACTGTTTTTTTTTTTTCTGTTTGCAAAAGAAATGGTCTGTGAAAACTAATCCGTCAATTATTGTGAGCCCCCCCCCCCCTTTTCTTCTCTCTGTCTGTCCCATGCTTCAAAGTGCATCACTTCAGTGTGCACAGATTTTTTTTTCTGCCTTGAGCGGAGTTGAATCAGCCGGAGAGCTATTGACACTGTAAAGCTGAATTCAACACTAGGAGGAGCGCATCGACAAACACATTAGACACGAGAAGTTAAAACAAAATACAATGACACCATGGCGCGCAGATTATACTCTCCCTCAAACAGACCCAGTGTGTGGAGGGGCTTATAAAAGCTTATCGATTTTTTTATAGGAGGTATTAGCACAGTTAGGCCACGAAGGGAACCGAGTCACTGGTGTGGAAGATCAGAAAGCAGGTCATATGAGTTCAGTTTAATCTTCAGTGCCCGCACTGATCAAGTGGGAGCACTGTTCAAGAGAGGTCTGTGTGTGTGTGTGTGCGTATGCCTGTGTGTGTGTGGGAGAAAGGAAGACGGAGATCAATTAGGAAATTATCAGTGCAACTTGTGTCCAGCATGAACAGATTCATGATATATGGCACGATAGTTGACTTTTATGCAGTTCTTGTCAGGCCTGTGCTATCTCTGTGGCACAGCTGTGCCATTTTTTTGTTTTAAAAAGGTCCCCCCCCATAAACCAAAATTGTTGTAAAGTGCTTGCAAGCTGTTTTTGAGCACAGAGATAGAAGTGATAGTAAAGCTGTGAAGAGAGATGGGAAAAATAATGTGGAGAAAATTGTGAGAAGTCAGAGATGAAAGCAGACAAAGATAGATGGTTAGGATGAATCAGAAGGAAGGCACTTTAAAAGATAAAGCGTTCATTCTCTTTCCAGCCCACTTTATTTTCCTGTGAGGTGTTTTTCTGCTTATGTGGACGTATGTCAGTCGTGTGTGTGTGTGTGTGTGTGTGTGTGTGTGCACGGGCACATTGTCTATAAGTTTTCATCATCAGAGGCAACTAACCCTGCCGCACTGTGCCTCCTCACTAATAATACCCCGTGATTAAATTCAAATGAGCGCTGCCTTTTTTTTTCTCCTCCATACTGAAAAAAAAGCTGACTCAGCAGTTTTGCAGAGTCAGGTTTTTAATCATATACATATACATATATATATATATATATAAACATATATATACATCAGTCAGCACATAAAGTCAGAGGCATTTCCAACCAAGTGGTATGCACACTATTATGATGCAGCAGCTTTTGTACAGTGAATTAAGCAAAAGAATGATCCATAAGCAGCCATGTGATTATCACAGAAGCACAATAACAGAGGATTTTATTAAACGTAATGTAGGTCGGCTGCTGGAGCACTCAGACAGAAACCAGGATACTGTGGCATGTTAACTCAGACTGTAAATTATGTAATGATGATAAAAAAATGGGGAAAGTTTGTCTTTGGTGATGGAGGAGGGTAAACTGTACTGTCACAGAGAGCTGATTTTACATGTGTTGCGTTTGTTTGAAATTAGAACAGTAAAAACTAATGACTTTCAATCTGAATGTTCTTTTATTTTACTGACCTGCGGAATATCCCCCCCGTTATCTGTGTGAACAAGTGGCTGGCCTGTTCCAACGCTCGCACTAATCTGTGTCCCCTCAGAGACCGCCTGTGTTCTCGACCTATTAAAAATGGCCACAGTGGTGTCATGGTTGTTAAGGCAAACACAATTAGAGGAGCCATTAACAATTGAAATTAATTTGCTGTCACACCCTCCCTCCACTGTCTGCTATTGTTGCCTTCAAATAACCAAATACCCCTCCCCCCCAGCATACCTCTCTAAATCCTTCTTTTTTCTGTCCAGAAAGAGACTAAACAATCTTTGCTTTCATGGGTGAGTCATGTTGAGGTTTAAAAAGAATAAAAATAATTCTAACTTCAGTTTCTCAAAGGAGCCTGTGTTATCATGTGAGAAAGTATTGCACTTCAAAGCAGAGAGGTTAGAGAGAACATACTGAAGTGTTCTTGAGGTTTATAAGAAGATATACAGGTCCACTTGTTTTCTCTGTCCTCTCCCAGGGGACAGACAGGAGGGGAAATAGAGAGAAATGAGGGCAGGAAGATTGACTACAGGGCGGGAGATCAAGAAGCAACAGAGGGGTGATAAGAGATGGAGGGGTGGTTGCAGTTGGGAATACTAGCCTTGCTTTCTCATCTTTATGTCTCACCTCTCTCCACTCCGTCCTTCTCCGTGTCCCGTATCCCGTGTCCAGGGATAGGTCGCGCCGTATTGAAAGTGGCCGCTCTCTTTCCTCGCAACATCTTCTGACAGCAAGAATAATTGAGCAAATTCCTCTCTAGCACAACACACCATGCCTGAAGGACCAGGGGGTAGGGGGATGGGAAGTTGTAGAGGATGATGGAAAAATCTTTGTAAAAGGGAGAGAGGGAGAGGAGGTAAGTGGGGGTGGGGTGGGGGATGATGTTGAAGGACGAGATGGATGAAGCCTTGTGAAATCAAGGATGGGAAGAATGTGAGACAGTGTCCAAGTGAAAGAGAGGACATGATGGAGGGAGAAAAGCCGAGGCACTCATGGATTTCTCACATGAACATTAAAATTTTACATCCTTGCTCTTCCCTTGCTCCATTTCACCATCACCTTCCCCTGTGACTGTATACAATATTTTCCAGTAAAATAGGGAACGTGCATTATTAGTAGACTTGCTGCAACCACTCTCTCACTGTCTTGTAAATTGCACTTATTTCTCATATGCCAAACAGAGGCTAAGTTGCTATTAGCTTTGCCCTTTTTCCCATTAAATTTGTGTAAAAGCACTTTTATAGCCGGTGACTGGAAAGACAAAAACTGGACGATTAGAAGACCAGGCTTAAATCAACCCTAGTCTCCTCCTCTGTCTCTGTCCGTGGTGCTGAAACACTTCAACCCTGTGTCTGTCTGAGCAGCCTCTACCTTCTGAGGTAGCTCAGATCTTTTCAGTGTGTGCAGCAAAATGCTGGAGATCTTCTACCAATCTGTGGTAGCAAGTGCCATCTACTGTGCTGTGGTCTCCTCTGGGAGCAGCATCTGTGCCAGACACACCAGTAGGATCAATACACTCATTCACAAGGCCAGGACTGTCATTGGTCGGAACCTGGAGATGTATGAATCAGTGAGGAGCAGGAAGTCACTGAACACTCTGCTCTCCATCATGGACAGTTCATCCCATCCCCTTCACAACACTGCAGAGAAAGAAGGGCTGGGTGGAATATTGAAAATATCAATATTTTCAATACTATTTTATTGAAGATATAAGAAATGACCATTTGTTATATTGAATATGTGTAATATTGGCTAAGCAGGTTACCATCTAGGTACATTTTAAACTGAACACATTTGAACAGGAAAGCTGTGCAGCTCTCTCTCTCTCTCTCTTTTTCTTTCTCTTCAGTGTCACAATGCCTGCCTTGTCAGTGCATGTCGCTGTAGCAAATTTCACCACTTTCCTACACTCAGCCTTACCTCTGAGCATCATGTTCCCAAAGCTCAGCCATTTGGCAAAGAAATACCTCTGTGTCCCAGCCACTAGTTTCCCTTCTGAAAGGGTGTTTATCACCAGTGGTAACATTGAGACATGCCACAGGGCGTCCCTGAAACCAGACACTGTTGACAGGCTCGTGTTCCTGCAGTACAGTCTAGAGAGGCGCAGTGCACATCTATCTGTCTATCTATCCGTCCATCTATCCATCTATTTACTGACAAAATTTTCTCTCAGGTCTGTGGCACAGAATAAGGGGTTTTAAAAGTAAAAAGCTGAATTTTAGATTGAATTCACTACATCTAGTGTTTGTAAGAAGTCGTCCTGGTGCATTCTGCACCAGCTTTACATAGACAACTGCTGCATCATTCCATCAAGTACATAATGAATTGCAGTAGTCTAGGTGAGAGGAATTTAAAGTGTTCAACTAGTATTGACAAACTTCAATAGAAAGGAAGGAAAAAACATCTTATTTGTGTCTTGACCTGTATTGATAGTCTACGGTACCTTGAGGTGCTGCATTTGCTGACAAAATCTGGCATCATCAGTGGCAGCTGTGACTACTTGAGAATGTTAATGAGCACTCTTGCCAACGTCAGAACTCTGTTGGCCCAACTTTGGCCTGATTGTTAAAGACATCTGGTTGTAACCAAGGTCCAGTGTTAGTAGGACTGCTGTAAATTGTGCACCAAAGCTTCCAGTGGCTCAAATCCAGGCTTCAATTGTCTTGTTTTTTGCCAACCTAACCAACACTGGCCCAGCGATTTCATGCTACTAGGGTAATCCTGAAAGTCTCCCTATAAATAAACCCTGTGTTGGGGTTGAGTAAGGTTGTCTGAGGGCTGCTCTGAAACATGGACTCAAAACCCACAGACACGGCATGCTGTGGTTGTAAGACAATAAGTAAAGTTTTCTGTTCTTGTATGGCACTTACTTTCATCAGCAGTTTGCAACTATAACAGTGGCAGATTTACCGAATGAAAATCTTAGTAATTTCTGAAAAAATAAGTCCTTGATTCCAGACAGAGGTAGAATAGGTGAGGTTAGATATGCAGGGTTTCTAGAGTGTAAACCTCCCTCCAATTTAATAAGGAGAAGGACTGACCTGCTAATGTTAGCCCTGCCTGACCTGGCTGAACTATGATTACACAATCGTGGTTCAGGGTACTGGCCAGGAAAATCAGACATAAATACAATATGTGGAACTAATAGAATCAGATTTCAGCTCAGATAGATCTTTTCTATTTACTCTATTATTCTGTTTTCATCACACAGAAACCAAACAGTGCTACACCAGTTCTGCTGCCCGGCCCCAGAGGCCCCAGAGGGGGAGACATCGACTGCCTGTGTCCCCAGGTAAGACGACTGCATCCTTGTAACATCTGCACAATATATTTATTTTTAATATTTATTTATTTTTTATTTACTTTGAACAAATTTATTTTTTATTTTCTGTAAATTTTAATTGCAGCCACTTAATCATGCATCCTGTTAGTAGCGGTGCTGCAGTAGCTACTTTAAGGCAACACAACTACCCCAGTAGTGTCATCTAAGTTGAAGTGGTTGTAAATGCTTCAGGTTCTTCCAGGGGACAATCTCAATTTATCCCGAATAAGATTAGACTCCTACAATCTTAAAATAGCCGCCTCAGTGATTGAGAGGTAGTCACTCCACACAGTTTTAAATGTCATTTGTCAAATCAGCTTGGGTCTTGGGTCTAGTTGAGGCTGTTGTTTCCTGTGTGACTCTAAGATACACTGGATGTGATTTGGTATTTCCACACACGGCGTTTGTCGGACTATCAAGATAAATCCACTGGAACACAGTAGTAATATCCAAATCAATCACATCAAGATCCCATTTACTGGACAGTGTGGTCAAGTCCTTGGCCTGGCTGTCTGTGTGAACACCGAACAAGAGGAAAAATATTACACTGAGTTTAGCAGGCAAAGCAGGGTGATGATGCTGTTATCTTTTTATGTCAGATTGGCATATGACAGCAATAGAGCTGATGCTGCCAGCTGGAAATCTAACTGTGTACAAATACTCGTATATGAATTACAAATAGTCTTTTTTATTTTCCAATAAAAGTTTTTCAAATCGGTCAATTTAAAAGCTCTAATGTTAGTTTGATGTGGTAATTTGCACCCACTGTCCTGGGGAATATGAAAAATGGAACAACTAATAATTAGCTGCCGTAATTACTGTACTTTTGCACAACTACTGGCTTGCCAGGCAGATTTGAGGGAGTGTAATAATTAATAGTGCTGAATAGGCATTCTATAAAATATAGACTTAGATAAGCATGAACAAAAAGAAATAATAAACAGCTATGACATGGTATTATCTTGCCTCTTTCAAGCAGATTTGAAAGCACGACATTTGTTTGCCTCCTGCTTGTATTTACTAAAGTGTGCTCTACCATCAGAGTTTCACTGAAAATTATAGCATTCATCTGGCCAAGGCGTATCAATAGCAATTAAGCGTTCTGGCCCAAAATGGCCTGTTTGTTGTGGACTGCACTTTTCACAGGATTGTTTTGCTGCATTGTCTGAGCTTGGCAGAAAACAGCAGATAAGAAAACACGTATTGATGGTAAATCACAGCCCCCGTTGTGCTGGACAAATGGAAGAAGGCTGCAGACCAACAAGCGCCGACAACCATGCTTTAAACACCTCAGAGGCCTGTGTGGTGTTAAATCAGCCACATGGATAGACTGAAGGATAGACATGTAGGAGGAACTTTGTTTGCTGCTTTAAGACCCAAAAACCAAAATCTTCGTAACAATTTTTATCAGATAAGTTGTAAGACGGCCAAGTGATTAACTCAAAACCCAAGTCTCTTACAATATCTGTTGTCACAAAACTCACTTCACAGCTTAAGTACAAGTGGATATTGCAGTAGCAGAGGTTAAAACTGGACAGGAGTGACTTTCGTAAGATCAGAGCTGGAGGGGAAATTCGAAAAGGCAGGAAAAAAAGACAAGAATCTATCGGAGCACAGCGGCTTGAACTTGATAGAAGCCGTTTGGCTCTGTTGTATTTTGTGATTGCTTTGTGCTAAGGGACCATTAGCTAAAGGTACAAACAAAGTGCACAACAGAAGCTCCCCCACCCCTCCAACTCCTCAAAAACACCCCCACCCCCACCCCCTGACAAATCTCTGAAGCAAACCACTTCAACACAGGACTCTCTGGGGCCAAGACAGAAAGCAGCTTGTGGTTTTGTCCCCCCCTTTTTTTTCTTCTTGTTGCGTCTTATCTCTTTTTGAGAGCTGTATTCTGTTGTTGTTGATTTCTGTATTTCCGCATTGTTGTCAGTGATTTGTTGATCATTTACTCACGTGGCATCACCACATCACATCACAGCGACATAACTCCACACAGCACCCACACCTCATTGCATCCATCATCATTCATGGTCACTTCATTTCGGGCTTGTCTCTCCACTGTGGTCACGTTAAGTTTGAAAGAGTCATGTATGAGTATTACCATGTAACTAAAGTGTAATTATGCAATGTAAAAACTACCATAATGCATTGATGTGTGTACTGTAGGGTCTTTCCCATGCTGGAAACTGGTGAGCCTTCTTGTTGACACATGTAATGCATCTGTGTTCATGTGAAAAAAAAAGTTCTTATCATGTTGCATGCTTTGGCTTGGCAGTGATCAGAACATAGCTCCCTGTCTATCTGTGTGTGTGTTAATGTACATGTGTGTGTGTGTGTGTGTGTGCCAATGTGTCACTACGGTACACACGGCATACAGTAGATAATTTACATACACCAAGAAATCACACAACACTGTGCACAACACCAGATCAGCAGGGAAATCCGTAATGATTGACTCGCTAAAAAGATGAGTGAGTCACAGCACTTTTACTAAAGCCTTTGAATCCTAGACTTTTATTTTTTGCTTGTTTTTATTTCTCTCTTTATTTACAGGCTTTTAGCACAGTCACTACATGTCTTAGCTGGGCATGTAAAATATTATTATTTTGAAATTTGTATATGAATGGATTGAGGAGTGTATTGGGAATGTAAGAACCATGCAACCTTATTAATGTTAAAAAAATATGTATAATGATGATCCAACACTATTTTCACAAAGTTTCTTTAAGTTCTGGAACTACTCCCCTTAATACTTACTACTAGGGGATGTAAACAATGTTGCCATGGAGTCATTGAGTTGCGCTGTGGGCTTTAACTTAAGCCCCATTTTTTAGCCTTTATATGTTTACATTTTGAATTTGATTTTGAATGAACTATTAGATGTTCCTGTTTGCAATGCAACCATGGATGTACAGACAACCCATCAATAGTTTACTTTAGTAATGAAGCACACTTAAAAACAGCACAATTCTTAAGCAAGTGGTGGTGTTAGCAGGAGGGTCTTTTTTTCTTTGACTTCAAAGCAGAGTTACGGACATTTATTCATGATGGACATAATATAATTATATCCCTGGAAAGTGTGAGTCACCCCGAATCTAAGAATACATGAATCGTGTCTCGGTTTAGAGTTTAGAGTTATGACTCTGAAGAGGAGTGCAACTTCTGATGAAAACAGCACAAATTACTTCAAAAAAAAAATTCTACAAAAGCCTCCTATAAAAATGAGAGTGGGTGAATTCTGTTATCTTGAGTGACTGAGGGGCTCCACTTGCCACCAAACAAGGCTTGATTAACATATGAAAAGGACGATTTATTGCTTCTGTGCAGCATCTCCACTTCAGGATGTAATAAAGCCTTACTTCACACACCACACCTGACAGACAAAGTGCAATCACTGATATTTCCTCTGCACTGCTCTTTCTACTGAGAGTACGCCGAGCCTTGGTGTCAGTGGGGGGTCAGCTCAGAAAAGGGCACCCGTGTCATTCGACTAATTTGAAGCTATGCATGCTCTTGGTTTGTATCTGTCTGCACCTGAGGAGCTTTATCCGATCAGTTAGGAAGTGGAAAACAGTGCAGTAATAAGGCTGTGTATGCAGGATCATTTAAATAAGCAGATATCAGGAAGTCGTGAGCTGCGAGGAGAAGTGAGGATTTCACTGTCACTGTATAATGAGGACCCTACGGAGGCTGGAAACTCACCCTGACAGCCTGGTCACTCTTGCCAGGATTTAAGGAGGCACCAGAGGTTTTGGAGACTACGGGGGATTAGTATTCGGGGTCACAAAGTCAGATCTATAATCACTCGTGGAAGGGGCTGATAGCGCGGGATGGCCACAGCCTTTCAATTAGCAGTGAGGGCCATCTTCTGCTGCAGTGTGCTAAAATTGCACTCAGGAGTTTTGTTTGCTACTTTTACAGTTCCATAGAGGACCTTAGTTTAAACTTTCTGCTTTGCAGCAAAACTGAGAAGTGCTGTGGTCATCACACAGGGCCCCAGAAACCTAATAAACGGAGGGAAAACATTACTAGAATATCCTAGCATGGAGAATGGCACAAGAGAAGAACTATAAACAATGGCACACAGGAAGATACCCTGTGGTTACGTCCTCCTTTTGGAGCAAAATAAAGTTTCTCCAGCCTTCAGGGTGAACAGGAGGATGATGGTTTAACTGTATTTGAGTATTTGAGTGTATTCACAAACACGTGCTCATTCATGCACAGTCATTCAGGAAATCTCTGAATGTGACTGCCAGAGTTTCCAAGTAACAAACTGCAGTCTCAACCGCCTTGATTTGAAGTGGAGCACGAATTTATGTTCACACCTTGATGTCACTGTGTGAAGTTTGCCCGGGTGTTTGGGATGACATCCAAATGATTTCTCAAGTGTTACTGGGAAACTGTGGCCTATGCACTCCTGCTTTTTTTTTCCCCAGATGGTGATAACTGCAGTGTTGTTCCATCAACAAATACTGATGTGTACGATATGTGTAAACAAGTGCAAGTACAACACAGGAGACATCTGCTTTCTCAGCTATCTTGTCCAGTAAAATAGTCAATAAATTGTTGGCCAGGGTTGGTTAGAGTTGTCACATAAAATTTATAAGGTCACTGGTGCAATATTTGGCACTGATGCAGCAGCGATGCCCCAGACAAAGAGTAGATATCCACCATGTTTTTTTTCAGTATGATAAGGTGTATATAGGTTATATCTGATGTTTTTACATGTCAGATGCTACTTCTGAAGATAAAGCAATCACATATGGTCAAACCTGTGCCACCTTTAAGGCCTGGTCATACCAGCATTCAATTTTGCTGGAATATCAATTTTCTTTACAGACTGACTTTTGACAGGATGGTAGTATATATTAGTATGCAATGGTGTCCAAAAGTCTAAATGTGATCTCAGACTTTTGGATCTCACAGACACACAGATGATTTTTGCTGAACCACTTTCTGGTGTGACC